TTAGACAGATGATTGATCTACAAATCTGCTCATGATCTATGAGACTTATTAAGGCAGGCACTGTGTCTTCTTCTTTATAGTCAGACACCCTGGTTCTTTGGGGGAGCTCATGAAATGTTTGATGAATGAATGAATAGATGCATGAATGCAATCAATAACATCTTAGTTTCAATCATATGCTAGACATTCTGGGTGTTGTGTAAATCTTGAAATATTTAGGGCTTGTGTTGGTGCAAACCCATGTAATAGTTCTACGTGGGTTGGCTTAATAGGTTTCTCATGAAGACCCTACTTTAAATCGGTATCTTTTTTGTTTTATTTATCATCTGGATTGTAAGCCTTTGGGTTCTTTAGACGAAAGTACTATGTGGATGCTAAGAGATAGCAACTGAGGACTTTCATGATTGTGATGTATTAATTAGACTAGAAAATGTTTCTAACAACTTCGCCTTGATAATCTGAGGCTGTGTTTTATTTCTGAATCCTCCCTCTCCAAGAGAGGTTTTCTTAATGAGGAAAGTGTAGGCAGCTGGCTCTCCTCAGTCTTTGTTCTCAGAACCTCAATTAGAGAGGGAAATCAGAATCCTTTTCATTACATCTGAATTAAAAAATATATATAACTTCATGGATATTTCTCTCAATCCACAAATTTTCTCTATATTCTTAGATGATTTTATTTTTTCTAAAAGCATATAAATTTGGAATCCCTAATTATAGGATGGAATTGGTCAGATAAAGAACAACTTTCTACATCATGCTCTGAAATTAGCTATCTTACAGCTTACTATATTTTATATGAGCAAAGATCATTGGATTCCTTCAGGATTCCCACCCTCCAGGCTGATCCACTGACTATTAAAGCTGGTGTGTGTGTGTGTGTGTGTGTGTGTGTGTGTGTGTGTGTGTGTGTTTTATAAAAACTGAGACCAGAGATAAAGGGATTTTTATCCCATCAAAATTGTTTTGGCCTTTCTCAACAGTGAAGATTCTAAAACAAAACAATAACAAAACAGCTAACAAATGGCAAAGGGATCCAATTTTTGTTTGATCTTCCTTCCTAATTTCTCTTTCTCTTTTCAGCTCTCTCACTGTAGTGAAAAGCTCAAAGAATAAACAAAAGGAAGAAAGAAGGAGTGAAATAAAAACTGGGCTATTGATTCCTGAAAAAATTGAGACTCATATATGGTTGATACATTTCACAAGCTACAAGAGAATATTAGGCTCAGAGCATATTGTGGCTACTCTTTATGCTTTTTTTTTTTTTAAGATATGACGACCATCAAGAGGGCAATGGCTCAGGGGTTTCCTTTCATGGCCTAGTACGGAGGCTCTGGAGCTTTTCCAACAGTTTGGCCCTAAGACTGATGGCAAAGTACTTCTCTCCTCTCTGGTGCCTCTGGGTCAAAGTGGAAGGGGAGGGCGATGGGGTAGCCTGGGCTGCAGGGATGGCAGTAACAAGGGCCAGGCACCCCTGCCTGCTCTTGTACGTGGGCTCCCTCAACCTGACAGGTATTTGTCACCCAAAACTCCAAGTCTGAAACTTTGACTCCATTTGAGAAAAGATAAGGTGCTTGCATTGCAATTTTTAAAGAATTCAGTCACCAAATACCGAGCATCTACTGTATATGGAGAATTGGCCTAAATAGATGGAAGAGCAAGTAACTCAGCTTTCTCCTGAAAGAGCTAATAATCGAGGGATTTTTTTTCTTCCAGAGAGAAGGGTCCTGTGATGGTATAAAAACCTGCTTGGGTCCCCTGTTCCCATGCTTTAGACTCATCACTCTGTCCTGATAACCATATCAATTAGTGGTCAAAGGTGTTACTGACTAAACTGGATGTGTCTATTGCCAATATATCTTGTTTACTTCCCAAGTGCTATCTCAACATTGCATCATAAATACCAGGTCATATAATAATTATTGTTATCAACTTCACAACACTCACATTTTCCAGGCAAATGTAGATATATTGAAAGATATAGGCTATTTTAAAATCTTGTAAATAATGCCAGGTGATTAATATGATTTTACAGTGTAGTACAGAACACTGATTTAATTGTTTTTTTAAATATATTTTTTATTATATGTGTACATACCTTACTAATCCTTATGCACACACACACTCACACACACCCACTCCCAAACATGCCTTCCCTGCCCTTAGTTTTTCCTCCACTGGTTATGCTTATATGCATGCATAAAAGTCCTTTGGTTGATTTCTTATCTCCCCCATATCTCCCTACCCTCCCAGCTGTAATTTGACAGTCTGTTTGTTTCTTTACTGTCTCTGTATCTATCTTTTTGTTTTTTAACTCTGTATCTCACTAGAAAGGGAGACTAGTAAAATTAGATAGTTGGGGTTTAGTAGCCTGACATTATCTTAATGTAAATTAACAGTAAATGTTTGAAAACAACAGAGGTTAAAATGTGTTTTTTTAAAGCTTGGATAATTAAATCCTGTACCAAAATGGTATTTAGCACTCAAACATAATATACTACCTACTGCTCAGTCTATTATCTATCATTATTTTTTGAACCCTGTAATTGGACAAACAGGAAACTATTCATAATAATCAGTTTGTTCAAAATCATCTGTTTGCCAGAGTCTGGGGGTTGCACGTTGCAGGCATATTGAACTGAGGTGAAACTGCTTACTCCCTCCTTTCTATTGTTTGCTCATCGCAGTTACCGCAAAGTGCAGCAACACCATACACTGGGGTGATCCAAAGCATCTTCCCAACATTACTGAAAAAATAGTCGTTTCCCCCTGCATCCTGTGAATGGGCAACATAAATCTTATTTGCCGCAAGACAGGGTGTCATTGACCCTGGCCCATCCCCTGCCAGGGCCGTATGCACATAATTATGCTTAACCCAGCACTGGAGCAAGCAATCTGCCCTCAGGAATTTCCATTAGATTCAACCACTTAGTGGCTTTATTAATCCTAGCGCTGGCTTTATTTTTCAGTTATTCTTTGGTGGTTATGTTCCTTCCATTACAGCTATCCAAACATCAGGCTGCCCAGGGTTTCCTGTACACATTTAAATCTAAGAGATTTAAATAGAAAAGCAACACGGGCCATTATTGGACTATTTTCCGTTTTCATTATCAATGAAACAAGACATCAGCGTTTTCATGCTGTGTGGAGCCTTTAGGGAAGTGCAATGATGCTGTCATTATCCCGCTGATGCAAATGGAATGGCGAGCCCAATGAAATAAAAATAAAATCACGAAAGGGCTGGAGTCACAGAGTGGGCTGCTGACCTGGTCCCTGCATGGCTCTCTGAAAACGTCCCTTTGAATTTAGCGGAACCTGGATGGCAAAGACCACAGACCCTGACAGAACATAAATTTGTCTCATAATGAGATTAGTAGGCAGTCAAAATAAATGTCCTGCTGTTACATCAGAGGCAAGCTGTAACCTGGTGTTTTCCATGGAAATGATCATTTTCTTTGCCACGGGAGAATGGAGGATGCAACTAGCTTAAACCCGACAGGTTCTGTTTTGCCATATCATTATTTTTCACCTTCCTCTGTCTGTTTAATCGCAGTGTTGAGGAGCCGTATAAATGAATCGTGAGTCTTAAAAACTATTACCAACATGAGTTATGGGTGTTGATGTTCACGATCATCATGTTTCCCTGACTCTCCTTTTAAGAAAAGTTCTCCTTTTGCAGCCCCTCCTCTCACTCTAAGCAGGAGCCCTGCTGTGGAGGAGGTGTTGAGACCCCCAGGGTCCTCTCATGCTAGCCTTAAGGATCAAAGGTGGAATAGACTCACTATTGTATTTGTGTATGGCAGCTCTACTGCTTAAAACCTTTGGCAACAAGTATCGCATACTAAAGAGCCCTAAGAAAATGCCCGGATCAGGTGAGCCCACGTGGTCTCTGAGTAGAACAAAGGCCCTGGGTGTGCAGCTTGATTGCAAGGGACTTGCTTGGTTTTCAGCAGAAGGCAATCTCACCTGGAGCACAATGCCCTCTTCTCATTCAGAATGCAAGATAGAATCTCCTCCGAATCCCTTCCACAGAACCTGATGCAAGTCCCTGGGCTGCGGGGTTCTTCGTACCGAGTTGCGTTTAATCAAAGCCTCTGTGAAATAATCTCAGAATCCCTGGGCCCTGTTAAGTCACCAGGCTTGGTAAGAGGTCCTTTCAAATGGAATGAGAGATCAGACTCTGAATTTAGGTGCGTTTGAAGCTTCCGCATAGAAGTCAGAGACAATTTAATGCACACCCATTTCCTCTGCATTTTCCAGCATACAGGCTGCAGACTCCTACCTTCTCTGTGGCATTGCTCATTAGGAATAGATAGTTTGCTAGTATCCCATTTCATAACTGTTTTCCTTAGGCTGAAATGAAACCACAGAAATGTTTTGACTTTGCACAATCATTTTATAGTTCATGCATTGGTTTCCAAACATTATTTCATCTAATGGAAACCATTCTCTTGCTGTACGTGGTGCTTCCATCCCAAAACTTGAACTGCAGATGAGCTGCTTTAAGGGGGAAATAACGTTTTGGCCCAATTTAACAAAATTTTCTTTCAACTTTTCACTCCTCAGTAGCTTGAATTGTGTCTCTGCTTATATATATTTTTATGTGTCTGACTTGCAAATGTCAGAGAATTTAAAGTCAATTCTCCTCCGATTCTCAAAATGTTATCTGCTTTCTGTTGATTCCTTCCTTATCAGGTGAAATAGTTCAAGGAAAGATAGACTAATTTTTCATTAGGTAGGTGGTCTCTCTTTCACTTACCTTTTCATTCCCACAACTCTTTCTTCCCTGTCTCACCATAGCTCTGTCCCCGCTCCTCTCTGCGCTGCTGTACTTATAAATTACATAGCAAACAGTAACTGAGTCCACTTTGCCAAGCATCCAGTTTAGTTGGGACGTGTTAATGATTTTCTAATGGCATCCCCTGTGTTAAATTCACAGGGTTAATGTTAAAGTTTCATGTTGAATAGTGCCCCTGAGAGAATTCCCTGCATTGTTTGCTTACCTCATATAAATGTACTTGCTCTTGGGTTACAGCAAAGATCAGTAACACGTTATTTTGCACCAGTTTGTCAATGAGTTGTCCAATTGTTGGATATTCCTAAAATTGATATATAGATTTTAAGTATCATCTTAAGAAAAACATGCAAAATAAAGAAAAGAATGTTTCAGATATCTTAATGAGTTTGACATTTCAATGCTCATAGGCATTATTGATTCTGTCACTCTAAGTAAACAAATACAATTAGCATTATTTAGTTAATTTGTTTAATAATCATTTCTTAAATCTTGTAAATCCAGTGAATTCCTAAATCAGTGCCTGTCAATGACGTATGGTGTATTTATGGTCTGTTACTTCTAAGGAGATCATTTGAAATGTATTTAATAATGAGAAGTGGGCCATATTTTCACATTTCCTCTTCTAAGAGCCAATGCTGACCCCTCCTTATCGCCACATGGTCTCAAACTTTTCAATTGCTGTGCATGTGTAATCAGAATCATACCATGTAGCCCTTCCTATGTGAGCAAACATGATTTTCTATTTGACCCACATCAATTGGTTTATCGATAGTTCTCACACAATTATCTCATAAGCTCCTCAAAGCCAGGAACCATGTCTTATTACTTTATGGCTCCTGGAGCCCGGCCCAGTGTTGTATGCATAGGAAGTGCTCAAAGGACGCAGGGAGCTATGTTACAGGGAGACACAGAAATAGTTCATGGCTTCTCTGCATTCATAGAAACTCAGAAAGAATTAATTGAACATTTATTAGACGAGAAGGTCATATTAAGCAACAGGCAATGTTTGCTTCTATGGTCCTACTTCTTCCAAGATTTTGTTAAGGACATTTCAATAATTGCAAAAATGGGGGGTGGGAGAGGGGAGCAGACTCACTTCTCACAATTTCTTGCTCCTTGTTGGCTAAAAGACAAAATGTGGCTACCTCATTGACCTTGTAATATGGAAAGGCAGTTTATATGATTAAAGAATATATAAGCGTGGGGAATACTATTGATCAAAAGTTAGGAGAAAATATTCATGTTAAAGTTTAGAAATTTAGGCAAGAAATGGTAGCAGATATTTGTGAACCATTAGATTTTAAAAAATTAATTGGCAGCACCGTATTAAGCATTTATATTCATTATCTCATTGAATTTCTTTTTGGAGAATAGTGCTTTTCAATCTGAAATTAGAATTCTTCCTCTTTTTCTTTCTCTTTCTCATTTCTTTCTCTTCCTCCTCTTTCTTTCTTTCCTTTTCTCTTTCTCATTCTTTCTTTCTCTTCCCCCTTTTCATTCTCATTCTTTCTCTTCCTCTTTCTCTTCATCTAATCTTTATATTTAACTTTTTTCTCTTTCTCTTTCTCTTTCTTTCCCTTTCTCTTTCTCATTCTCTTTCTCATTCTTTCTCTTTCTCTTCTCCTTTCTCATTCTCATTCTTTCCCTTCCTCTTTCTCTTCATCTAATCTTTATATTTAACTTTTTTCTCTTTCTCTTTCTCTTTCTTTCCCTTTCTATTTCTCATTTTCTTTCCTTTTCTCATTCTCATTCTTTCTCTTCCTCTTTCTTTTCATCTTTATATTTAACTTTTTTCTCTTTCTCTTTCCCTCTACTCCATACATTTCTATAGCATTGTCATTTTAAGAAGTCACTTAAATTCTCTGAGAAATATTTTTGCAGATATTAAATGAGGATAATATAACTTTCTCAGCTTGTTGCTTCATAATTCAATTCTATTTCTTAAGTTAGTCGGCACCCACTGCATTCCAGGCCCTCCTGGCCCTGTAGAGCACACATTAAATAAACACAGACAGACATGAGCAAACACATTTCACACAGTGATGGGCAAGAAGACATCTAGGTATGAGAGTGAGGGAGAGGCCCAGCAGAGGTCAAAAAAGGCCCCCCTGGAAGCAGCCATAATCAATCTGGGTTTAAAGAATAATTAAGTTTCTCAGCAGCCTAGGATGGGAGAGCATTCCAGACAGAATAGGATACGCACACACATGGCAGCTTCATGGTCTATTTAAGGAAAGCAGTTAGATATGTAGGATTCTGGTGAGAATTGAATGAGATAATGTACATCGAAGGAACTCTGAAAATTTTACAAAAGTCAAGCAATTTTCCCCCTTATATGTCACCAGCATTTTTTAACTGACAAAAAATACGCCAAGTGTGAATACATACCAAGCAAGCAGTTCTTGACTAATTGTTCCCATAGAGAGAGCCCCTGCTCTGGGAAAGCATGGCCTTATTTAGGGAGCATGCACTGGGCCTGTCATTCACAGTAACTCCTGTGTGATGACTGTTTTGGTCTGAGCCCCGCTTCCTGGGGATATGGTTGGGAACAGAATGAACTGACTTTGCTGCTTTTTGCTGGCCTCCGGCTCTTTGAAAAATCAGGAGGTCCTGGGGTCATCTGGGCTATAGCAGATGCAAACTTTTCACATAACCTCACCACCCACCTGTACTCCTGGGGGAACCCCTGAAGGTGATGAGGATTGAGACAGGGAAATCTATTCATCTCAAAGCAGGAAATGTACTGTGTGCACTAAGTGTGGGTTATCCTATGCCCTACATCCATTATTGCTTCATTTGCCTTCTTATTGCCCTGAAAACAGCGCAGAGTGCAGATTACACACCAAGATGGTTGACATGGAGTATTCATTCTTGCTGTCCAGGTGACAGAGCCCATCGTTAGGAATGACAATGCCTGCCAATTTGCTGTCCATTCCAAAATGAGAATCGGCGTCACTCACAAAGACCAGGAGATGGAGAGAGTCATTCCGCCAGCCAATTTTTTCCTGCAGCGAGAGAGAAACATTTGGATTGCATTGGATAGAGGCAGGCATTTATGGAGAGTGAATCAATTATGATTGGACACATTCAGAATATAAAAATTGTATTGCTGGTCTATTTCAGCCATTTTCATCTATTGTGAGTTGATAATATTAATGTATTAAAAACACAACATTTCTGTGATGTTTGTTTCTTTCTTGATATCATTTTCAGATGTTCTATACTTCAGTAAAAAAAAAAAAAAAAAAAAGTTCCACTACAATCAATATTCGGTTGGTTCCAACTTTTATATGGTTATTTTTACTGTCCATTTTCAATGTACCAGAAAAATGAAGGAAGGGAGGTCACAGATTATCCTAAATCCAAGATGAAGCAAAACTAGGCAGAATGCAGGACAAAATGGAACCTGAGTAAGCCTGTTTTATTCAACGGTCACCCAACATTTAAGCACATATTTCTCTTTCTACTGTATAATCCAAAAATTATAAACAAAATAGAAGGATAAGAATTGCTTATCAAAGTATTGCCTCAAGGTACTGCCAATTAAAGTGGTCTATTTGCTGTTTCTTAGCAGAGCTCTCCCTTTCAGTTAACAATAGTCCTGAACTAGTGGGGCAAAACTCATTCTGGCTGCACCATCCCTCCTCCTCCTCCTCTTCTTCCTCCTCCTCTTCCCCCCTCCCTCATCCCTCCCCCTTCCATCCCCCATCCTCTTCCCCTCCCCCTTCCCCTCCCCCTTCCTCTTCCCCTCCCCCTTCCCTTCCCTTCCCTTCCCTTCCCTTCCCTTCCCTTCCCTTCCCTTCCCTTCCCTTCCCTTCCCTTCCCTTCCCTTCCCTTCCCTTCCCTTCCCTTCCCTTCCCTTCCCTTCCCTTCCCTTCCTTCTCCTCTTTCTCCTTCTCTTTCCTTCCCTAGTTCCCTGGTCCTCCCACCTTTAGGAGCTTCAGCATGTCCATTTCCTGATACTTTCCATGAAGAGCTACCACCTGAAGACAGATACATGATTCCTGTGATACTTTGCTGACTGTTAAGGACAAGTGATGTTCCTGTACTATTGTAGAGATTGTGTGGCTTTGGATGCTTATTTTGTTAGTTCAAAACAATAGATATCTATTCATATATAGAGAGATTTATACTGATTCAGATCATCTTTACTTTTTAAATGACTTCTGCCTTTGATTTTTACCATGATTAACTAAAAAACCAATTAATCTGATTTAAATCTTTGTAAATTAATCACACATGACTTGTAGTAAAATTTCCCCAAGACATCTACAATTTTATTAGAATACCCAAATATTAGGCATAAAACATCCCATTGTAACATGATCAAATGAAAGATTTTATAGAGATTCTGTTTTAATAAAAATATCAAATGTAGAAATATGGCAATTAAAGTAAAAATTAAGTTAGCCAAGTGTTTCAAAGCAGATGTGTTAATAAGAGATGAAATTTGTATTATCAGAGCAAAATACATTTCCTCTCCTCATACCTTACACACAGCAGCTTGCATAATTGCATCAAATCCACCTTCAGGTGTGTCAATATTAGCAGAAATTTTCTGATTCTTCACAATTTCATTGAATTCTTCAGCATCACTTGTCAATGGCAAAACGTGCTTGAATCCAAAAGTAGGTAAGCAGAAGTATGGAATACTACTACAAAGCAAAATGTGAAAATATTCTTGATGAAATATGACATAACACACAAATAAGAGCTCTAATAGTCTGGCAACATTTTCTTGCATGATAATGAATTTTCCTGAAGAGCCTGACTCTAACTTGGCTATGAGTCTCACTGCTAAAGTTGTTGTTATCATTTCCCACCCACCCCTTTCAAATTAATCATATTAGCTAACACTTAGAGATCACTGTATCTTACACTGGCTCAAGCTCAGATAACAGGTAATCAGGTGATCAAACTCTCCACTCCTGTGTGTGTGTTTGTGTGTGTGTAATCATTACCTCCTATTGCCTCTCAACCCAAACCCACCAACACTCCAGCCTTATTATAGGGTGACTCACACTGGGTGACATGTCTGTAGTAGGGCTCAGAGTGAAACCTTTCTTCTTCCTCCTCTACTCCCTCCTGCACTCCCGCCCTGCTGCCAATGGACCAAAAACCAGAGCAGGGCTCTTCATTCTAGATCCCAACTTTACCGTGACTGAACAGACTGTCCTGGACAGAAATAAAACCACCATTTAATACAGTTTACATATGGGGAAAATGTCATGTTAGGATATCTGTCCCCAAATATTACATAGAACAGAAAAAGCTGATCATAAATTCAGCCACATCTTATTCAGAAAGCCAGTTAGTAACTGCGCATAAGGTTTGGAGCAAGTTACTCAGCAATCTGAGTTTTAGGTTTTTATTTATAGAATGGAGATAATAGTACAGAGCAAAGGTTCTTAAAGTGAGGCCCCTGACCTACTGAGTCAGAAATGTTAGGGGTGGGCTCAGAAATCTGTTATTCTAAAGCTTGAGAAACTGTTGTAGTAGAGACAAAAGGTATAGCTCCCAGTGAGGTTGTGGAGTGCTGTCTGGGCAGAGCTGGTTGACAGCTTTGCAGGCCCAGAAGCCTGCCTTCTCAACACAGATAGAGCTAGTACATCTTGCAGAGTCAGGCTCCTGTTCACCAAATTCATCTGTCTGAGGTACACAGCCAATCCTCATCAATCATAATTCCCTATCTCAAACTCACCTACTTGCTAAAATTTCTTTGTAACTCCCAAATCAATACTCTCAGTACTTTCTTAATCATTCACATGAATGCACAGAATGGCCAAATAATTGAATCACCAGAAACACATGTTTCCCAACTGAGGTCAAACAAGGCTTTGTCTTCTTGCTTTAGCTTTCATGCTTTAAACAGGTGTCCTTTCCAGGGTCTATGTGGTGCCTTGACTTTTGTATTCTTGTGTTTTCTGTTGGTGATTTTGCTGTTTAGATGGGCCCTCAAGTGTGATGCTGAATGGCTGTCTAGTGTTCCTTGGTGCACAAGGCTGTGATGTGCATCATGGAGAACATAAGTGTATTAGATATGCTTTGCTCTAGCATGCATTATAGCAGTTGTTGTCTGTGAATTCAATGTTAATGAATTAGTAATATATATTAAATAGAGTGTTACACACAGAAAACAAAATTATATATTGATCAGTTGGTGAAAACATGACCAGAGGCTCACAGGAACCTAACCTTGTGTCTCCTCTAGGAGCAATGGTTTAACATTTGCTAATTTGGTGTTCAAGGAGACTACACAACAAGACTCTTTTGAATAATGAAAATCAATTATATGTACAAGTTAAAATGACTATGGATTCATTCATACAGAGTAATAGAGTTCTACTGAGACCAGAATGATGCTGTCTGCAAGGGTACTCATTTTCTTACTATCAGTAGTCTTTCACAGAAAGCAGGTCATAATCTGATGTGTCCTCAGGGTTCAGAATAAGTGGAATTGGAGGATCCTAGCACTGACTAGTACAGTTTGAGATGTCCCAACACAGCCATCTCCAGATTGGATGCTCCTGGTCACCCTAATCTGTGGTTGGCTAATAAAAGTTTGAGAATGTAGGAAAGCCAGTGAGACTGGAAATTGTAAGTACCTTGGCTAAGGCCCTTGGATTGAATGTGGCCCATACTTGAACCTATGATCCCTGTTTCTTTGCCCTGCCCTAACCTACCAATACTGTTCATTTTTTTTAGCTATGACAGGATACCTGGCCTGGTGGACCCAGAAGCCAGTCTGTCACTTCCAGGGAACTTTCACATTTTCTTTCTGATTCATTATATTTAATTTTAGCTCTCAGAAGGCAACCTTAAACTTTTATTTTTAATATTTTGCATGGACTGTCATTGAATTTCTGAAGAGTTGACCTCAGAAAACATCTATGGTCCTAATAGAATAATGGTGAAGCTTGACTGAAATAAAATGTGTGAAATACACAGTACAATGAGCTTTTCCAAATAAGTGCTTCCTAACATTAGTGTCATTTCTTATATAAATTACTTCACACAGAGTCTACATTTGGCTAATGATATATCTAGAATCATATAGTTTCTCCTGCTTAAAATAATAATGCATGTTCATTGAAGAAAATTTGGGTTTTATGTAAAAGTGTAAACGAAAATATAAATTTTAATGATTATTAGATGTATCATAGTTTATTTGACCATCTCTCTATTACTGAAAATTTATTTCAGAAACTTTTCAGTTATTAAATAATGTGTGATCCTTCCATATAATCTTTGCAAACTCCAAAAACACATTAGATTAAAACAAGTTTTACAAGTGTGGTGCACAGACCCTTTGACATCCCTAAGCTCTTTCAGAGTCATAAGGCCAAACTCTTTCACAATAACAAAAAATGTTATGTGCCTTTTCCATTGTGCTGACATTTGCAGTGATGATGCAAAAGCAGCAGTGAGCAGAACTGCTAGTGCCTCTGCACAGATAAAGGTACAAAGCTGTGTAATTGTTCTTACATTTTCACCAGCAAGTATTTACTGAAATACATTTTAAAATGCAAGTTTTTACTTGATTGTCCTTGATGGGGCAGTAAAAGTTATTAATTTTATTAGGTCTACACCCTTGAAAACATGTTTAAAAATTTCTTTTTCTGTATGACCAAGACAGAAAGACGCATACGGCATTTCTGCTGCTCACCAAAGTAAATGTTTATAGTAGAAAAGCACTTCTGTGATTGCTTGAGCTAAGCTGGCATATATATATATATATATATATATATATATATATATATATATATATATATATATATCCCTCTCTACCTGAAAGATGCTTGACACATTATTAATCCAACTTAAATATTTGACAGAAATGTTCTTAAATATGAAAGAAGTGAGGTTGTCATTTCAAGGAAAACAACCACTGGTATTTGTTGCCACAGATAAAATTTGAAATAGTTTGAAAATTAGAATTTTGGAAAACTTTCATCTGCCACCTATGAGATTAATAGCTACCCAAATGTATTAAGAAATATCTGATGATATTAACAAATGGGATGTTTTTGACATTGTATCATGAAATTTGGAAGATCTGCCTAACTCAGTGAAGCAATGGTTTTCAAAGGATCAAAGCATTTAATTACAAAATCACACACATTAGTAAAACCCATTCACAGTGCAAGACAGACCAATGGCTTTTAACGTGATAGAATATGAAAAGTTCGTTGACATTGTTTCAGATTCCTTATTGAAACTAACTTTTAGTTTGAATGAAGTATCAAAGAAGATTGCTGAAACCAGTTTGGCTCACTGGATAGAGCATTGGCCTGCAGACTGAAAGGTCCCGGGTTTGATTCCAGTCAAGGGCATGTATCTTGGTTGCGGGCACATCCCCAGTAGGGAGTGTGCAGGAGGCAGCTGATCGATGTTTCTCTCTCATCAATGTTTCTCTCTATCCCTCTCTCTTCCTATCTGTAAAAAAATCAGTTTATATATATATATATATATATATATATATATATATATATATATATAAAAGATTACCCACAGTCATGAGAAAAAGCTGTTAGATGTGTCTTTCTTTTCTTATTACATATGTGATGTTTGACTTTCCTCATGGAATTTAAGCAAAACAAAGTATTTCAACAGATCAAATGTAGAAGTAGGCATAAGAATCCAATTGTCATTTACTAAATCAAATATTAAAAGATTTTTAAAAATGTAAAAGCAAGGCTAATCTTTTTGTTTTAGAAAAACTAGTGTTTTTTTAAGGTGTGTTATAGTAATATACATTTCTTATTGTAATTATCAAATAAATCAATAACTAATTATTCTTTAATATTTGTTTTCTAACATGCTGAATATTAATAGATATAAGCTACACAGTCTAAAGCTCCTGGTGGGAGGTCTTAATTTTTAAGAGTGTAAGAGAGTCCTGAGATGTAAGTTTGAGAACCACTAGATTAAAATTATTAAAGATACTAAGTGTTGATGAGAGGAAGAAAATTAACACTTTTGAATGTTTGTTATGTTCTGAGCTCATTCAGTTCTCATGGTTGCCCTAAAAGGTGAATATTATTATTTCCATGTAAAGGTGAAGAGAGCGAGTTCAAAGAGAGTAAGATTTTGACCAAGGTTATAATTTAAACCCAGGACTGAAAAACTCCATGCTCTTTCCTCTTACGTCGTTTGCCTTTCTACTAAATAACATTTTTATTCCATAATTACAAGGTTTGGATTGATCAAAGGATTGACTTTTGTGTTTAGTGTTTGAGTTTTTGGTGTGTATATGTATGGGGGGAGGTATCTGGACAAAGAAACTGGAAGAATTAAGGATGTAATAGAAAAGGAAAAAAATATAATGTGGCAGCAAAAAAAAGAACTTTATATATAAGTTTAACTAATGGTAATTTGCCAACAAGAATAAAGAAACAAGTTAGAAAATAAAAAAAATACTGACCTTTCAAGAGATCTCATCTATAATATTCTGTTATTGATAGTAGCTGCCATTTATTTAGAGCTTCAAGATCAAGCCCAGTACTAAATGCCCTTCATTACCTTGACCAATCCTTAAAACCACTCTGTGTGATCAGCTGTTATTCCAAACTGAAGTATATATATATATATATATATATATATATATATATATATATATATATATAAAATTGATTTTTTACTGAGTGGAAGGGAA